CGCCCCTGTAGAAGGCAGCCCCTACGCCGCCAACCGTCCCCGCTTCTACATCCACCGCGACGCGCCACGGCTGCGCGGCCACCAGGATGCCTAGGAAGATGTCCACAGTGCTGAGGGCTTCACCACACGCTTCACCGCAGTCCAGGGCCCGCCGCACCGCCTTGCCAACAGATCCCAAGACCAAAGACTGCGGCGCTTCCCGTCCTTCCGCAGGTCCCAGGCAGTGGACGGCCGCCCGTCGCTCCTTCCTCCCACCAGAGGCCCACAGGCCGCCCACTTGCCCGGGTCCGCCCAGGCCGCAAAGCCTGAGGCTGCGTCACGGCAGGGACATGACCCCAGCTATGTGCTTACTCGCCCAAGGGGCCAAGGCATAGCTCCTAGTCCACAGCCTTGGCCGGGTGTCTCTGAGGAGCTAGAAAAAACAGAGAAGAGCGTGCACGAATCAGGCTACGGATCCCGTAGTTCCAACAACTCCCGCCGCCTCCCACAGGTGGCTCCTGGCTCCCAGGGCCAAGACCCCCAGGGAGGAGAGGGCAAGATTATTGAGAAAGGCCCTGCTGAAACCCCTGCTTCTGCCTCTGTCACAAAAAAGAGCAGCGCTGCTGAGGAAGAGGACCCTGTGCTCGAGGATGCCCCATCTATTGTCCAGACTCAGTAAAAGCCTGGCTCCCTCCACAGGGACTCCCTGGCCTGGACTGCAGGTGGTGTCCTTTAGAGGAGATGATGCTCTTTGGTGTGACCTAGTCCCCAAAAGCCACGATAGGAACAAACACATTGACTGTTACATTTGTGCCCTGAAAAAAAGGCATGCCCCCTTCCCCAAGGTTTGAGGATAAACTAGAAGATCTGCATATATCTAAATCCCCTCCTAACGTCTGCCTTGGTAGTTTTAGTTCACGCTAGCACACACAAGCACACACTCCTCTGAATCTGTTGTTTTTAAAGACTTGAACCACACCTATTATGGTGAGACCCCAGGCGAATTAGGAACACAAAGATCATCCGATATTAAAGACTACTATCTGGCCTCACTTTGTGATATTACTCTCCTATGACTTCTCTGATTTTTTTTAGCCTGAAAACACAACAATGAGGCAGCGCTGGCCCTGGTGGCCGTGTGGTGCACCTGCCCTTCACCTGGGGAGATGGAGTGGCTGACCCCATTGAACAGCTCCCTGCAGATGTCCCGCGTGGACTTCTGCAAAGACAGTGACCAGCCGCTGATCCTGGAGGCATCAGGGCCCCAGCTGTTCATTGTCCTTGCTGGTTCTGCTGCCCAGAGATCCTTCCGTGACCCAGATCGGGCCCAGACCTGTGTCTGCACAGACCTCCATCCAGGCATGAACGGGATGACAGCTTGAGAGCTCAGGACAAACGCAGGACCAGATGGCACCACCCACCATCCTCATCCCCACCTGCCAGCCGTGACCTGGCTGAAACCAGGACAGGCCCCCAGGCCTCCAACCCCCAACAACCTGCTCCTGCCCGGGGTGTGTCCACCCCTCATGTCTCCTACTCTCCCCCACACACACATGCAGAGAGGAGTGCGGGGCTACCCAGGCGGGACACGGTGGTGAACACATCTGGCTTGCCCTGCCCTGACACACACTGTATCACCCCAGGGTCCTTCGTGGCAAACGGTCAGAGGGGTCAGGGTGAGAGCTGGGCCGACAACTGCAACGGCACAGAAGGAACTCACTCTCTCAAGGGTCTCCAGCCGAGTGAGCTGGGCAGGACGCTGTCTCCAGAATGTGGGTGCCTCACTACCAGGGTCCTAAATTAATGAGGAAGTGGGATCACCTTCTCTGGGCTTGTGCCTCAGATGAGAATTCCCCAGGAGCCCCTCTGGGCTGCTCACTGCCCTCCTCTACCCCATGCCATGTACCCCCGCACACAGGGACAACAACACAGCCCACCCCACAGGCCCTGAGGAAGGCCTGGGTGCAGCCAGAGCCCAGTTTTCAAAAGACTCTGAAGGGATTGTAGAAGGATGAAGTTCCATCTTCTGTGGCTTCTTCCTGCCGGACTTACAGGCGTAGGCCCTGCCCAGCATTGGAGAAGTAGAACTCTCTAAGAACAGTCCAGGGGGCGCAGGGGCAGGATGCTTCCATGTTTTGGATCAGCCGGTGAGATGGGTTGGAAGCCTTGCATCGGCACGAACTTGGACTGCAGTTACTGTAACCGGGAAGACACAAATACAAACGTGGTCCAAAGATTGAAAGAAGGAAGATAGCTAATAAGCGCCCTGAGAAGGGAAGTAACCAAATGATACTGGGCAAACGTCCCTTAATAGAATCCCAGCTGGTCTGGAAAGCGGGCGATTGATGATGTTATATTAATATGTAGCCATGTTCACCCTTTGTTCTACCTCCCCCATGACATTAATGTAGATGCAACACGATGAGTTTGCAGCAGCACTTATGGCTCCCTGTTCAGCCAAAATGCAACATGGTTATTTTCCTATATCCGAGATGGACAGAAAAGGTTTTTTCCAGGGAGAGGAGGGAGTGTAATGTAAACACGGTGAACAACTAAGGCAAAATGCAAGTTTGGTTCATGACTATGAAAGTGACTTCATTCCAGTCACCAGGAAGTAAGCCAAGGAATAACAAGTGGGTTATTAGGGAAATGCCAACAGTGATTAAGAAAAGAAGAACGAGCACACGTTTACTAGTCATTTGAATGAGGGTGTTACTTAGCTTTCTTGCTGTCTTCTGGAGTGTGTGGAAACTGTTTTCCACGAAACCCGTCACTGATGCCAAAAAGGTTGGGGACCGCTGCTCCACAGGCTCACAGGAGTATGCCAGCTCCTCTGCGCCAACCCGTGGGGGCTCACGAGGCACAGGTTTAATCCTAGCCAGATGTTTCCAACTGGTTGGTTCTGATGATGACGGGAAAAGGAAGCTTATAGGTAGCTTAACATCTAAATTACTAACGAGTCTTTATGTCGGATACAGGCGTGGTCCGAGGTGGCGGTGGCCAAACCTCGCAGTCACGTGCGGTGCAGCACACAGGCTAGAGGAGAAAAGACAGAGCCGTGCAGAGGAACAGAGACTGCAGCCTGCAGTACAAGGAACACAGCAGCGCACAAAGTACAGAACAGGCTTCACTCGGAGAACAAAAGTAACATTCTAATCCGACTTGAAGAAACGCTCAGGGTTTGGGCAAAGGCAAGAATAAAGGTAACAGCAAGACAAGCAGCCCCAGTGCCGGCAAGAAGAGGCCTCAGACAAAAGAACAGGTTTTCCCAAGGGGCCTGTTTTCAGCCCTTTAGCTTGGGATCACCGACACAACACGGCTCTGGTGTCCCGGAGTCGCCACAATAAAGGACCTCTGTTTAACGAAAGAAAAGGATTTCAAAATAAACAGGGAAAATGACCCGTCTTGAAAGAATAGAAACATCTCCCCAGAGATGAGAAAAGAAAGGCAGAAGGAGACAGTGAAGAGAGAGACAGAATGAATGCGTCTGACACTTTGGAAGGCAAGAAAACCGAAAAGAAACCAAACTAGACAAAGGGAGACTTACCCCATCCTTCGGGGTCCAAATAGTGCCACTCAGTCTTAATTTGGGGTCTGGGTGGGCGGTCGCCCTTTGTCCCATCTGGGTCACCAGGTGACACAGGAAAGTGACTCCCAACACTGGCAGTCACTTGAGGTCCAGGTGGGTCCTTGGCTTCACGCAAGAAGGAATTTCCAGGAGGGAGCCGAAAGTATAAAGTGAAAGTGAGATTTATTCAGAATCTATAGAAAGTCTGCTCCAAGGCACAGCAGAGGCGAGTTCTCCCTGCAGAAGAGACAAGCCCCCTTTTTTACTGTCCACACAGCTCGGGTCTGAGCCCCGTTGTCTACATTCGAATCCTGGCTCCGCCACTCACCAGCCACAGGACCTCACCAAGCCTCCGTCACCTCCTCTGTAAATGGGGGTTATAAAAGTCTATGCCACACCGGTTCTTGCGAGGTTATCAGAATTTACACGTGTCAAATGCTTAGAACGTGACCGCACAGAAAATGCTTGGTAAGTCCCAGCTCTCCTTATCATATGCTTCTACATGCTTCTCTTTTGCAGGACTTATCAGAGCTAGGCTTCAAATACTCATTTGTGTGATGCTGTTGCTGATGACTGCCTCCCCTGGTACAGCCTTGAGCCAGGGCTGGGTGACCCGCCATCAGTGTGTCCCTAGTATCTAGCCTGGGGCTTGGCACACAGCTGTGCTGAATATTCTCTGGTTGCCCCACCGGATCCATCCCCACCCTCCCCCGGCTCTGCAGCCCAGGAAGCTGAGACCTCTGCAGACCATCGGGTGGGCTCCCCAGTCATTGAATTTCTGGCTGAGTTTGGGCAGCGGGAGTCACCGGCAGGAGGTAAAAGGGTGGACAGAGGATGAGGGTGGGGTATTCATCTTCCCGGCTCTCTCTGCCAGGCGACAAGCCGTAGCAGCTGTGTCTCTGTACTAGAGACCTCCTTTCAGGCAACCCCAATTCCAACCATTCTCCAGGCCAGGTGAATGCCTGGTAATGTCCCCCCCTCTGCCTGGCCCAAGGGTGCCCCACCCATTCACTGTTCCCATCTGTAACCGGCCCCCGGCTTACACTCTGTTCAATTCCTCCCTTAGCATGTCATGAGGAGTTGATAACAAACAGAAAGTGAGCATGCATCAGAGATGGAGTTCTGGAGTGGTGCTCCAACGTGGGGGTGCCTGAGAACCCCCAGGAGGGCTTGTTGAACCCATGTATGGCTCCACTCCAAGAGATGTTCATTTGGCTGGGCAGGCATGGGGACAGGGTCCATAATTTGCATTTGTAACAAATTTCCTGGTGACACCGACGCTGCCAGGCTGCAGACCACATTTTGAGAAACACTGCACTGGAGAAATGTCAAGACGTTTTGTTAGTTACAGACCCGAAGCCTCATGGTTGCACCAACTGTCTGTAAAGACACGAAAGGCCAAGTACAATAGAATCAATGTTTTATTTTACACTTCTCTGATCAATGAAATCCAAACAAAGGTGCCTGCTAACAGAGAAAGAGGAAACTACAATCAAGGCAGTGGCAAGATTAAGCGCTAGGAGCAGAGGGAGGGGTGTGCGAGGCCCCGTCCTGGGCAGGCTGCTCCCGTTCTCAGGGCGCAGCCGCAGAGGGGCCCACAGACCTCGGACCGATGAAGACGGCCGTTAAGCCACAGCCCGCGAGTCCCGAGGCTCGAGGACGAGAAGCGGCTCCTTCCTGCCCCCCCAGCACGGGCTGCGCGGCACGGGAAGGAGCGGACACGCTGCAGGGCACACGGACGCCCCTCTTCCCTGGCTCCTCAGGCCAGACACCCGCTCTGCACACGCACACGCACGCGCACGCTTGCACACTCACAGGCCACACGACCGATTCCAGGGCTCCGTCTCGGGCCCAGGCACCGACCGCGGCGTCGCGGTGTGCGCGCGTCTGCTTAGCGCAAGGACAAAAGGCGACTGCAGAAGCGAGGGCTCGACCGCGACAAGCATCTGGCGAGGGAGCAACTGCATTCCGTGCCCCGTTGTCGTGGGCGAAGATTCCACGGAGCCGCTGGGGCCGGCGGAGCCCAGTCAGGGAGGTCCGGGTGCCGGTTCTGGGACGCGGTCCAGCTCGAACGTGCTCCACAGCAGCCGGTCGGCGAGGAAGCAGAGGGCGAGGAGGCCGGTCCCCAGCAGGTCCCCCAGCCCCGTGAGGTAGGGGATGCAGTGGTTGTCAGGGTCCAGGGAATGGTGCCAAGCCAGCCGGACCATCACTTCCGCCAGGTACAGCAGGATTGTCACCTGGCGCAAAAGCA